TGTGTCCAAGCGGGAGCACCTCCAGAAGCAACCGGGAGAACCCACTGCCTGTGGCCCAGGACCACGAGGGACGCGTGCCCTGGCTGGCTGAGTCAAGCAGGTGTCTGCGAAACACTAGCCTCCCCTTCCCAGTGAGTCTGCAGGGCCTGCAATCCTACCCTCCAGCGGGAAGCAGGGTTCCTGCCCTCCCGTGCCCTTGGGAGCTCAGCAGCCCCACCTCGCCCAGCCACAGCTGCCTGAACAGGTGCGGTGATGTGGGCTCAGGACCCCCCCCAGCTGTGGCAGCCACCTCGCCCTGGGTTCCCCCCACAGACAGGCGTGCGACCCAGGAGCTGTCCACAGTCAGGGGACGCGGCACGCGGCATCGCCGCGGCAGGCGGGGCGGGCAGAGCGGAAGGTCCTTGACGGGACAGAGAGACGGCAGGGAGCAGCAAGGTGGCACGTGGAGGAAGGGGCCGCCGCAGGACAAACCGGAGTGTGTAAACCCAGAGAGACCAAGGCTGATGAGCAATTCCGAAAACAGAGCAGTCCTGAAATACCTGAAGGGAATTCCTCACACTGTTTTCATACACTAGCAAAATCCTAAGCAGGAGCTATTAGTCTTCTAACAATTTCATAAAGAATATCACTGGCAGAAATAACCATCGCAAAATAAAACTTACACTGGCTGAAACTACACAGGGAAAAACGCATCAGGAACTAAAAATCGAGGGGAGAGTCTCTCTATACAATTTAGAACCGAGCGTTCCAATCAGGCGATCCAACCCAGTGCAAATGACACAGAAGAAAGTTCAGCACAGGGGAGCGCTAATCAGTAAAATATGATACATATTTAGAAAATAATAAATTCTAGGGGCCCCTGGGTGGCTCAGTCGGTGAAGCATCTGCCTTCGGCTCAGGTCATGATCTCAGGGTCCTGGGATCGAGTCCCACGTCCGGCTCCCGGCTGAGCAGAGAGTCTGCTTCTCCCTCTGCCCCCTCCCCTGCTCCTTCTCTCTCTCTCTCTCTCTCTCTCTCTCAGATAAATAAATAAAATCTTTTCTTAAAAAAGCTAAAGAAAATAATAAATTCTAAAAATCTCTCAAGGGTCCAGTAATATTTACATGGAAAAAATGATTCCAGGGAAAATAATATCTGAAAAATGAAAAAAGTCAATGATCCATTTGCCCTCACCTTAAAACCAGGCAAGTCCCAGCCCCCCGTTTTCTGGAACGCTCACGACTCCACCGGAGCAAAGAGCCTTCTGGAAGCTACAGATGTCGGAGACTGGACATCAGGAACAGCACACCTGGGCCGTGGCCGTGACCCACTAAACCCAGCGCTGAGCTGGAAAGCCTCCGGGCGGGAGGAAAGCCGGGGAGACGGGGACAGAGCGTAGGACTCCGAGGCCCCACACAGCTCCCCACCCCACACCGCACAGAGGCCACGGGAGCTGAGGTCATCCTTCCTGGGAGCTTTCCTGCGGGGGGGAGGGGGCCCGGGGGCAGGGCTTCTGAGGTTGCCCACGGCTCTCCATGGCCGGCTGGACCCAGAGCACCGCGTCAGCCCATGGGGCGTCTGCGGGAAGCGGCCAGAGGCTACACACCCGTGCCTCTAGTTACAAAGACGTGCTGACATCGAAAATCAGCACATACTCTTTGCTGGGAATACCAAAAACGCAGAAAGGAGTAAAACAGGACATTTAAATTCTTATAATCCTACAACCCAGAAATATCTACTACTAATGTTTTGGTTTATTTCTTTCCCATACTTTCTCTGTCTTTGTGTAAATATTTTAATCAGTCATGTCTGTTCCTGTATCCTGTTTGATTCGCTCCCATGCGTCACGTCATGGCCAATCCTCTTTTCAAGATCGCCCCAAGAAGGAGACTTCTGACATTTCTCCATAAATGCTTCCACTACTCAGTGATCCAAGTCATTACACGTGGGTTGATGTGTTCTCTATATTCTGCACTTAGCAAAGACCCCAGACCAGAGCTGCTCATTTCATCAGCGGCGGTGCCAGACCCCTGATGAACCCCACACTCGCGGACCCGAGGACTGGTGTGCCCAGAGGGCGTCAGGCTGGTGACCCCGGCCGCTGCTGGTGCGGGACTGTAAAGGGCCAGGGCCAGGCTCCTCTCTCCCACCCTAACCCCACAGAGGACTCCACACTGGAACACGCCGCCCAGGGTGGGATTTTAAGTTACCCGTGGATATTGGGCATCCATTAAAATGGTTTCACAGCATGAAAAATGGTGACACTGAAATCTGACATTAAATTTAAGAAGTAGGATGCAAATTTATGCAGACAATACAATTATAACAAAGCAAAAAAAGGCACAAAAAAAGGAAATAACCTAAAGTAAGTGCCAACCTCTGGATGATTTTATTATGGATGATTTTCTCACCACTTTAGGTATATTAAACTTTCTATCACAAGCATATGTTGGAAAAATTTGAAACAAGGCAGTTACTTCATGAAGGTAGGACTTTATTGCCACTTGCACGCTGAGCTCAAATGTCATTACTTTGAAAAGACATCAATGAAATAGGATCGTGAAATGGATTTGTGACCGTCTAGAGTAGGGGAACTACCCACTTCCTGGCTGAAATATAAAATCGCCCCACAAAAAAGTAGAGGCACATCCCTTTTATCACTGCGTAAATATCATAATGAGTTCAGTAATAAGACTATCTACAGCACTTTCCACTTTCATAAGAAGTATAATAATAAAATAAAAACTACAGCGCTTTAGTTCTGAGACACTGTTAACTTACCACAACCCGAGAACTTTGTGAAGCAGTTCCCTCACAGCCACCCTTTGCAGATGGGCAGACAGACACGGGGAGTAAGTAGCCCCGGCTCCCTGGTCAGCTCTCCTCTCAGTCAGCGGGGCTGGCCTCTGCTGGGATAGCCGCCACCTTGTTGTTTCTCGCAGGGACCGCCGGAGAGGAGCTCCTGCCTCCCTCGCTCCTGCGTCTGCTGAGCACACAGTGGAGTGCTCCCCAAAACTCGGGAAGATTGCTCATTTCGAGTGGGAAGTGTATGGACCAGCATAAGAATGTATGCACAGATAGTCTTTTTAAAGTTCCAAATTTCACTTACGGCCACGTATTCTAAGGAAATATTCAGAGATGTGCACAGAAAATACAAGTACAAAAGTATCTTACATATCAAGAAGAAAAAGAGCCCAAAACTTTTTTTTTAAAGATAGAAGAAAACAACCAAGAAAGGAGGAGAAGGACCAAAAGACGGAAAAGAAATACAAATGACTTTTAAACGCCCAGATGATGACTCTACTTCATAAGAAGAGAAGTGAAGTCAGACCTACTAAGGCGGCATTTTACTACTCTCAGATTTGTTTGCAGCTTTCCTCCCAGTGAGGGCGGCAGGTGACACATTCCTTGTGACATTGTTTCAATCTTTTCGGAGGGCAACATCTACCAGAATTTCAAATGCCCCAGCACCCTGTTACAGTCAGGAATTTGTCTTCAAGCTGTACTCACAGACACTTAAAAATGACACATACGGGACTATTGTCTGCAGCAAACCCCTCTCCAGGAATAGATCAGCTGAAGCATGGAGCCGCGCGTCACCACACGAGAGGATGAGGGAGACATGCCCGTGCTCCTATAGAATGATCCAGGGCGTACTGTTCAGTGAGAGGGAGATGCAGAACCATACGTGCACCGTGCAACTGTCTGTACACAAGGAGGGAAGAATCAGGTACACCTTTGCTGGTGTGCTTGCTGACTCATTAAATACCTCTGTAGAGAGAGATCAACCGACAGTGTTGGTGGGAAGGATCCCAGGGAGCCCGGGACCTAGAAGGAGAGCATTCATTTGCTGTGAGCTGTTTCTATATGCTTTGAACTTTGAACTAGGAGAATAGTTCATTTATTCTTTTAACTGATTTTTTTAAGAACAAAGGAGAAAACAAGAAATAAAAATCATTAAGACTAATGGAGGGATGTGACAGAAATGCTCTTGGTCTCAAATGTGAGAAGGGTTTCCCAGATGTGTACAGCTGTCAGACTCATCACTTGCATATCAAAAGGAGAATGTCCATAAACTGTACCTCAAAAAAGTGAAAAAACAGTGCATGGACTAAATATATGAATATATATACTCAATGGCCTTTATTTGCATTGTCATAATAACTTTCTGGAGACTGGAAACCGCCTAGCTCTCCAGTGTTGGAGAACTGGTTGGGGGACCAGCTGGTTGGGTGTCAGTGTAAGTCCCAGAGCACAGAGCATGAACCTCGAAAATGCACCTCTACCCCCTTTACTGTGCGGCTAATTTGCATGTACAATCTACTTCCTGTTAAGACTCGGCACAACCCCAGGGGATACGGAGAAATACGCGATTGTACTAAGAAGGAAACAGATTCAGCAATTAGGATCTGCTAGCCACAGGTGCGTCCACCCCTGTGTACCCTACGCACCCCACCCAAGGTTGTCCACTTGGTCCTTTGCACGCCTCCATCACTGCTCACACACCTCCTTATCTGTTTACATGCCGCCATCACCACTTACACACCTCCT